CTAGGTTGCCCTTTCTGTTAATCTGCGTGTGTTCTGTTGTGCATAGGGTTTTCAGAGGCCTGCTATTTCAGAAGTGGGTGGCCAATCCTTCTTCCTTGAAATTAATAATAAACTAAAAAAAAAAAAAGAATAGTAAAAAAAAAGTGCACATGGCTCCACCAGGCCCGTTACTTTGAAACTGATTACAACTCATAGCAACTTTATAGGACGGAGTGGAACCACCGCAAGGGTTCCCAAGGCGGGATGTCTTTACAGAAGCAGACAGCTGCATCTTTCACCCACGGAGCAGTTGGTGGGTTTGAACTCTTGACCTTTCAGTTAGCGGCTGAACACTTGAATCTCTACACCATTAAACGCAGAACCTGAGGCCATGGACTCGGTTCCAACTCCTAGAAGTCCTTTTTCTGATTTCCGAGGTTCTAAATCTTTACATGGGAAATCTCATCTTTTCCCCACAGAACGGATGATGGATTTGAACCAGTGACCTTTGTTTTGATGGGCAGTCCAGCCTGTAATGCACTGTGCCATTAGGGCTCCTGTGATGCTCAAGATAGACGTTTTCCCTAGTTAAGCTAAGCTGTTTTGTTTTGACGGTGGCTGCAGAGGATAATTTTGGTTTTAACATTTCAAGGGCAGTAGTTTCAGGGGCTCTTTCAAGTTCCAAGGTTCCAGGCAATTTAGATTTTGTGAGGATTTGAAATTCTGTTCCACCTCTATCCCCCCTCTTTGAGCAGAGTTCTTCTACAGAATGTGTAATCAGAATGATCACGAGTTCACCATGTACCATCCAGGTCTTCTGATCTCCTGGCAGAGAGAGAAACACTTGTTCATGGAGGCAGCTAGCAACATATGACATTTCCTTCCCCTCTCCCTGTCTCCTTCTTCCTCCATTGCTCCAGGCAAATAGAGACTAATTATTGTCTCTTTTCTGACAGAAAAACTGTTCCTGGATGGCTGCTCCCAAGCTTTTAGACCTCCAGGCACTAGACAACAAGTAGGGGGTAGAACAGAAGTCTGAACATGTTATTAGGCCAGTTAAGTTCATTGGGATGCCCATGAAACCGTGACCCTGACCTTCAAGCCAGGGAAGCACATCTAGAGACTTTACAAAAGGCTAGGTGACCTTTTCTTTCAAGCAAAGACATAAACACGTGCTTTGGGTTTCAGTCATTGAAAAAGCAGATCTTTCCTGATCATTTTCTGTTCTTTCCTTTTCTCCCTCGCTGTTGCAGAGAAATGACCAAAAGTTTCTTCAATGCCCAGTTCGGAAGCTTGTTCCGCACCGACCAGAACCCGACCTACTTCCTGCGGCGCCTGTCGCGGTTTGCTGACATCTACATGGCCTCCCTGAGCTGTCTCCTGAACTACGACGTCCACCACACCTTCTACCCCAGGAGGACTCCCCTGCAGCACGAGCTCCCCGCGTGGTCAGACAGCCCCTCCGCCTTCCGAATCCCCCTCCTGCAGGAGGCGCAGGCCAAGTGACGGAGCGCCCACCCGTGGGAAAAGCCAGAAGCTGCGGCCCGGAGTGTGTGGACACCATAGGGTGGTCTTTGTGTGGGCATGAGCTGCTTACTGAGAAGATACTGTTGGGATTCTGGATATTTACGTTATTATTCTCTGGAGAGTTCTTCCCAGGTTGTTGAGACGGGAGCTAGCAGTCTGCTGGTCCCGCCTTCCTGTTCTGGTCCTGTTACCATAGAGCTGAAGGGCGAACTTCACATTGAAACGCCTCAATTCAGCCTTCTGATTCACCAAGCCCCAGTAACACTCGTCTGCTCTGCTGGGAGGGCCAAGCTGTCCTCCTGCCCTCTCCAAATCCCAGCAGGTCAAGTTCTGAGACTGTTCTTGACTCCCTGCATGGAAAGTGTCCCCAAGACTTGCAAGGCGGGGTGTCGAGAACTGCAGGGGCCCAGTGGCATGCAGAGCAAGCTTTGCACAGAAAGCTTATGATTCCATGAGCTCTGCAGTAGCTGACGCTGCTGTGAGTCGCAAAGACGGTCCCCCAAAAGAAGCTAATCCCCCAGCCCGTAGGTTCCAAAGCTGGCATCTAACCTTTGTCTTCAGATCAAGCCTGGTCTCCCTCGAAGGACTTGAAGAGAATGAGCAGGAAAGCTACAGCTCCTTTGACCCCGTGTGCTCCGTGTTCCTGTGTCCTGCCCCCTGCGGAAGAAGGGCAGTGCCCAGTGAGTGGTGGGGAGAGCCTCTCTTTCACCCCCGAGGTGGAGGACGGTGAGACAGAAACCTCCATCACTTGCTAGGACGCAGAGCTGACTTTCTGGAACAAAGCTGCAAAAAAACAGCAGGGTCAAAAGAGCTGAAACGTCTGAGGACAGTCTCCCAGGAGGCTGTTAAACTCAGAGCAGGGGCTCAAGTGTTGGCTTCATGTGCTCCTCTGAGGAAGGACAGTGGACCATGGCACCTGTGGGGTGCGTTTGACCTTTGCTGAGATGCATGCATTTCCAGTAACTCTCTGGAAGGAAACACGTGGATGCTGGCCTCTCTGATGAGTCATTCGAGGGGCAGAGGTTCAGTATTGGGAGGAGAGAGGTGGCCATAGCCTCTTAGCAGCCTTCAACCCTCCTGCACCCTTAGAACTTCCTCCTGCTGTGTTTGTGTGGCAGTGTTGGGAGCTGGGGTGATTTTCTTTGTTTGGTGAAAATAGAGATGATAAAAGGTCATTGAAGCTAAGAGAAAAGAATGAGGACCTTGCCGGAAACGTTTTTCCTTCTCTTTAGAAGCATTTTCTTTGTTAGCTTCCCTTTGAACCTTGCCTTTGCAATACTAGCACCTTCTGTTCCTCAACCTGAAAGACTTGTGAAGAGGCTGGTGGAAAGCGTTTCTTATTGTCCTGAGTTCATTGTAACCAGTCAAAACATGACAAACATGGAAAGAAAATGACTGAGTTACACCGTACCCTTTGCTACGACCCTTTGCTAAATGGGTTGCACGGGGGATGGTCTGTGTTTAACCAGAATGCTGAAGGCAGCTGCTTAGGCCCACATAAGTTCTCTGTTGTCACTTCAAGCCTTCATCGTCAGCCCAGGAAGACACAGTGGTATGTTTATTTTTCAGAACAGGAGTTGCATTGTGTTGATTGTTGTTTTGTTGTTTGTTGTTTTCCACCTCGGAGTCTTAGAGAGTTTCAGGGTTGCCGGGTCATGTCCGGGGTGTCTCAGTGCCGGCGCCCCATCAGGATGCATTGGTGTCCTTGACTTAGAATTTCTGTTTGGAGCAATAGACTGAGGAAGAAGAGGCTTGCATTTTTATAAAAATGCTTATCAGCTATTCTTTGCGTGCCTACTAAGTGCCAGTCACAAAGCGTTTATTTACTCAAAAGCAAAGCAAAGCTACTTCTATATCCTGCATTCGTGGATACCTCATTAGGTGCCCCAGACCTTGAGGGAGAGGCACTTATTTTTATTTTAATAAGAATAATTAAGTTTACATTTTACTGTCATTTAGCCTGTCAGTCTCTGGGCCACTGACCTTGGCAGCACTGAGATGTTGGCACTGTCTCAGCAGGACCCACCCAGCCGAATATTTCCTGCTGGATGGACGTGGTCAGCCAGCTGGTCTCACGGGGACAGAGGCCTTTGCCTGCTTCTTTGATTATGCTGATCTCTGGTGGCTTAGCGGTAAGAAGCTTCCCTGCAAACCCAGAGGCACAGGGTTCAAATCTACCAGTTGTCTGACAGGATAAAGAGGAACAATCTTCTCTTGTGTGAGTGACTGCCTTTGACAACCTGCTGGAGGGTCTGCTGCTGATTGGTTCTGCTTAATGTCAGCTGACAAACAACAAACCTAATGAGAAGGAATCTCTGGTGACATAGTCTTAGGAAGTTGTGGTGCCGGCCCAAACGTGGCACCTCTGGCAGTTCAGCGCCACCAGTGGCTCTCTGGGGGCAAAGATAGGCAGTCTCGTCCCATGTCATTTACAGGCTCCAAAAACCCGCTGGAGGTCAGCTAGGAGTCAGTTACTCTCAGTGCCGGTGAGTGAGTGAGTGAGTAGGTGAAACCTAATCAGAGGGTAGGCTGGTGGCATAGCCCATGGGGAGTTGTGCTGCCAAGACAAAGGCCAAGCTTCTGTGGTGGTTCGAATCCACTAGGCGATCTTTGGGGGGAAAGATGGGAATTCTCCTGTATGACTTTTAACCTTGAAAACCCATTGGAAGTTTGGCTGTGATTGGAACCAACTTGACCCCAATGAAAGATGGAGAAATGGAATTAGGACATTGTAGGTAACCTTGTCCCTCCTGGAACCCAGCCGAACCAGACATTTCACTGCCACCAACTTGTCTGCTGTGCACGGTGAGGCAAGCCCACTGGAACAGGGGGGGAGTGATCTGTCTTCTCCCATTGATTGAATAAAATCAATTTGGAACGTGAATGGAGTTTGCACACCTGTAATGCTGGTTGAACTGATATCCTAAGAATTGGGTGAAAAGAGCTTCTTAGTCCAGTGGCCACCCGTGACAGCTCGCCTTGGCCCACAGCTGATGTTTTCCAGAGTCGCTGTGTAGGCTTTTTAAAAATTAGGTGTTTGGCTTAACAGCTTCTGGTTTCTCCTGACACTCTTTCCCCTTTTAGATGATCTTCAGCTCCATTTTCTGATGTTGTATTAATTTCATATAATTGCTTTGTACGGATTTGAGCGCATTTCAGACTAAATTACTAGTTGCTTTGAATGCGTAATTATTGTAAGGGGAAATTGAAGAGTAATCTCTCTTAGCTAATTTGGTTTTACATGAACTAAATGGCTTCTCCTCTCTCCTCCCAAAAGACTCTTTGAGCGTCAGCGAGTGTTGAATGGTGGAATTGAATTCCATTGCCCCGAGTGCTCATTGCTGCCAAACAACCACTTGGGGGTCCTTCATCTAGAATGCTCTAAGACTGAATTTGCCCAGAGGCACGGTTCCTTCAGCGTTCTGTTCAAGTACTAAGAGGGCGTGTGAATTACTCTCTTGATACTGATTTCTGATAGAATTTGTTTTTTTCTTGCCTTAGCATCTGGGAGCCTGGCTCAGAGCTCATCTGACCTCTGATGCCACTGATGGGTCAGGAAGGAAGAATTCACTAATGGTCAGGTTGGGGTTTTTTTTCCCTTTAAAGAACTAGCTTGTAAATGTGTTTTACTCTACTGGCTGTTGTCTGCTGCCACTCCTCCAGAAACGGGCATGCCTGAGCTCCTTTAAAACTGTTTACAGAAGCAGGTAGGGATAGGATTTAGCCCTTGGGCTGGCCCATGCTCTTGCTCTGGGGATGGCATTGGTGCCAGTGGCAAGGGTCCCTGGCTGGAAGCCTGTAGATGCGTAACCTCTTGACTTGAGTGCAGACGTAAAGAGAAGTTGTGTAGTCATGTGTTCGGTATACCTTTACAGCTGATGTTCTGGGCAGCTCTGCTTGTGAATATGACAAAATGTTGTAGTTGTGGCCTGTGGCTTATGGATTCAGTTTGTGTACTTGAGCTGCCAGACTCAGATACTAGTTGAAGATATCTATTGTGTACCCAGATTCCGCTTAAAAGCAGAAGGACATAGTCCCCCAACTGTGGGTCATGCCACTGGTTGACCACCTGATAGACTGGTCTACCTGGTTGTAGCCATTAGGTCATAGCCTCTTTTGGACTAGTCTTCTTCTGAAGAGCCCGGCCTCCCTTGAGGCCACACCTCCTTGTTGGATCAGCCTACAACCCTTGACTGGTTAATGTTGGGGTGGCAAGACCTCACCTCCGCACCTCACCCCAACCTGGGACAACTGCCCAGCTTCCCTCCTTCCATGTGGTCAGCTGAGGCCACCATCTGCATCACAGCCCATCTCCTCCCTCCTTCTGCAGCCCCACTTCCTTTATTCTACTTCCCCAGCCCTGGGGTAGACCCCAGGTTCCTGCACGACCCTGGCTGCTTCCGGGGGAACCCCCTGGCAGCTATGCTTCTGCGCTTCCGAGAGCAGCAGGCTTGAACTATGACTTAGGAGATGGTTTGCTGATTAGTGCAATGGCACGCAGTGCCTGTGTACCAGGCACAGTAAATACAATTTAGGTAGGCGTACTATTTATTCTGAATGTGGATTTGTTATTTATTCTCAGTGTTGATTTTATGTATTATGTGGGATTGCCAAATAAAGTTTCATTGTAGCAACCAGTTTGCTATACGTCTCCTGTCTTATGTGCTGAAGTAGCGGCAAAGCCATGTCCACTTCTCGGCGCCAGAAGAGCACCGCCCTGTCCTTTTTCTCACCACTTTCATCCTCCCCAGTAAACACAACTGCTGTTCATTCCAGATTGTGAAGACCCTGGGCATCAGCTGAGCTGGAAAGGCTGTGTGAGCACAGCATCAGTGGCAGCTAGAGGACAGAGGGAGGCTGGTGGTTCACCAGTGTGTTTAGAAGCAAATTACCAGGAAATCCGAAAGTATAAGCAGTGTTTTGATTGAGAGGTGTAGGGAGAGGAAAGGGAAACTAAGCAAAGGAAAAGCTGAATTAAGAATAAATGAATCTGGAGTTCCTGGGTAGTGCAGAAGGTTAGCATGCTTGACCACTAGCTGAAGGGTTAGAGGTTTAAATCTACCCACAGGTGCTTTGGTGAAAAGCCTCAATATGGATTACATTTCAACATAAAAAAAATTCTCACTGCTGGATTGACAGGCAAACATCTTGATAGATGGAGAAGAGATTGCAACTGTCAACGATTCCATCTAACTTAGCTCCACCGTCAACACATTCGGTACCAGCAATCAGGAGATGTAATGCATGCATTGGGAAAGTCTGCAGTCAGGGACCTCTCCGTATTATTGAGGATCAATTATGTCAGTTTGGGGTCTAAGGTGCACCCGATTCAGGCGATGGTCTTTTCAGTCATCTGCTATATATCTGAAAGCTGGACAGTGAATGAGGCTGACAGGAGCAGAATCGATGCCTGTGAGCCGTGGTGGTGGAGAAGAGCCCTGAGGATCCGTGGATGGCCAACAGAGCAAACAGGTAAGTCTTGGGAAAAGTCCAGTTAGAGTGCTGCTTGGAGGCAAAGATGACAAAGTTTATCTCCCATACTTTGGACATGTTGTTAGGAGAGACATGAAGCTTGGAAAGATGAAGGATTGGCAGTAGAGAGAAAGACTCTGAGATGCGTTGACACAGTGACTGCTGAGGGCTTGAATATGTCAGAAAATAAGAGGATGGCACAGGATAAGACAGGGTTCAGATCTGTTATTCATAGGCTCGCTGTGAATTGTACTCACTAGACAGCACAACAAGGAGTATAATGACAAGGTCATGTAGCTGTTACCACTGTTGAATTCCACAACATTTTCATTATCCCACTAAGAGACCCCGTATCCATTTGGAGTCTGCGGGCTTCCAGCCTCTGGTCATCTAACTTCTGTCTGGATTTACCTATTCTGAAAGTTTAATGTCCATGTGATCATATAATATGTGATCATTTGTCACTAGTTCTTTCCCTTAGCAAAGTCATTTCAAGGTACCATGTCATAGCAGGACCAAGACTCAGAGAGCCGAGTAATAGTACTTTGTATGGACCTCCCACCTTTATCTGTTCATCTATTGATGACCACTTAGGTTGTTTCTACCATTTGGTTATTATGAATAAACCTACTGTCCACGTTCCTGTGTAAGGTTTTGTACGGGCAAATATTTTCATTTCTCTTAGATATCTAAGAATGGAATTGGCAGGTCTTTTAGTTAATTCCAGGTTCAACTCTTTGAGGAACTGTTTTCCATAGAAGTTGCATCATTTTGTGTTCCCATAAACACATACCAGTTTTCCTACACCTTCACCATTACTTGTTTATGTTCATCTTTTTTATTACAGACATTATTCTAGGTATGAAATCCTTTCTCATTGTGGCTATCATTTCTCCTTAGGGTAAAGAAGCAAATACAACTTTTACTAAGAAAGAACTCTGTAAGGCAGATATTGACTCATTGATAAGGCCCTAATAAATTTTACCTGCATATTTCAGCCCTTGTAGCAAAGGATTGCTCTTGTTTCTAACCATAGCTGTTCAATAAATGTGTCCAGAGAACATCACTTTTCTTCCATAATGTTTACTGAGCACATTTCATGGGTCAGGCACCATGGCAGGAACTGGGCAACAAAGATAGGTGAGGTGCAGCCCCTGCCTTGGAGAGTTTACAATCTAGTTGGGACATACAAGATCATAGATAATGCTGCGTCATTGAAAGGAACAAAGGAAGGACAGAGGAGGCTCGGAGGAGGGAGGAGACATCCTGGGTTCATGGACAGACTGGGCACCCACAGATACAAAACAACCCCCAGATTATCCAAGGAGATGAGGTACAGTTTCTGAATGCTTCATACACTAAAAGACCTTACATTCCCACAAAATAACTGGTGCTGAGAATTCACAGTTGATGGCGTTGGTAAGGAAGCTCCATTAAGTCCAGTGGGTGATGGCTCTCAAAGGCCCCCGAGGGGGTCGCTGGTCTTGAGACACTGGTCATCAGAGTCCTGAAAGAAAGTTTGTAAGGCACTCAGGACAGTGGGGCGTTGTGCCTGCTTAATCCTTCTAGGGCGGGCGTTTCTTTCAGCCACTGACCTGAGGTCTAACTTGCGACCCGTTCCTGTGAACAGGTGGGCTGGAGCATCTTTCAACCTCTGGGTGGAGCAGGGATGGTCACTGCTGCCTGTTAACAACTAATTGTTTGTTGCTTTCAAGTTAGCTGTGACTTAGGTAGAAGAGAAGGAAACTGCCTGATTGTGTACCATGCTTACAACAGTTGGTATTTTGCAGCCCAGCATTGGAGCTATAACCTTATCTAGAGAGTGCTCCCTGCTGCGGAGCTGGAACCTGCTCAGTTGGGTGTCACATGTACGTTGCAAAGGAGGAGACTGCACATCTTTCTGAAGCTGCTGGATTCAAACTGCCAGAGAAGCGTGACCTTTGAGGTAGCAGCAGTGCAACTCCTTACGGACACCACCACCCGATGCTAGAAATGGTCTCTCAAGGGTGGAATAACTGATAAAATGGAAGATGTCTGGATTGGCCACAGATATTGTACAGACATTCTAACCTTTGTTATAAAATGTATTTCAATAGTATTCCGTTCCTTGAGTTGGCTTAGGGAGTGCCGTAAATGAGATTTTTGTTACCAGGTCTCAATTAGAATATTTAGCTGAATCTCAATTCTAGGAAACCCTCACACTTGCCTCAGGGGAACCATTTCTGCATAGAGTTGGTGGAGCCCTTAGAATAAGACAGCTGGGACAGCAAGTGGCTCATTGAATGGGACATGTGACTTTTCCCCCCTACTTGGCTTTTAAAATGAGATTGATTTTAATATAAGACTGCCTACAGAAATAAACTCCTACTAGTTCATAAATGCTCTCTAGCTGATGAAGTTTTGGTCTGAATTTTTTTTAATGGGTTAGATTTTTAAAAAAATAGGATTTGTGATCTGGTTCTTTTCCAATGTAATGAAAAAGAAATATTATGATACTAAGAACCATAACACATTTATGTTTGTTCACTTCAGAGAAAACAGTGACATTATTGCATTTGCAAGCTTGATGAAATGATGGGGACGAAAAATCTCTGTTTATGTGCCACTTTAAAAAAACTTAGTAATCACGACGGCACATAACAATCACAGTATGAATTTAGGAGTTCAGGGAGTAGCATGTGTACATGGGTAAAATGATTATAGCATCTCTGTGCCTTCAGTTAATGCTCTACAAGTTAATGTAAACCCTCACAAGACAAGATTCAAATACTTCCTTGCACCAGAGGAGTGCTGTCAGCTCACTTAACCTACCAAGTTGAACAAGGACTGACTCTCAATTTTTCTGATTTCTGTACAAGAGAAAAAATCTATCTATCATCTTTATCTCTAATCTAATCTATATCTATATATCTATATCTAATCTCTATCTCTCTATCATATGTCTCTATCTCTATATCTAATCTATATTTAATCTATCTATATCTCTATCTATCTCTATCTCTATCTCTATACCTATTCCAGTAATAAGCTAACAGGGCAGAGCTTCCACACTTTATGTGCCTGCTACAGTCTCCTTGGTTGAAGTTCAAGGAGATTCCATCTCCGCTCAAAGCCCACTCAAATGATAAAACCTCTTACTGCTCTCAAATTGGTTCTGGCTCACAGCAATCTTCCACCAGATCGCCAAGGCTGTTAAGTGTCTGCATCAAGGGCCTGCCCATCTTTCTTCCACAGAGCAGCTGCTGGATTCAATCTTCTTCTTAATTCTATCTTCTGGTGAACAACTTGACATTTTATACACCAGCTCTAGAAGTAAATGTTGCTTGGAAGCCTGGAGCTTCTGAGTGGTACAAACACTTAACACACTTGGCTGCTAACTGAAAGGTTGGTGGTTGGAGACCACCCACAGTACCTCAAAAGAAAGGCCTGGTGATCTGCTTCTGAAAACCCATCCGCTGAACACCCTGTGAACAACACAGTGCTGCTCTTAATACTCTGAGAGAACCATGACTCAGAGATGATTGAGTCCATGGAAGCTGGTTCTGTTTTCACTGAAGATCAGAACAGAACACTCTCTAATAGATAAAGTCATCAGGGACAAGTAGCTGTCAAAGGAAAAGGCAGCTCTGACACTCAAGGAGAAAACACAATCTTGGACAACAATGTGAGTATCAGTTCAGAGAACAGCTAGAAGACAAATCCTTTCTATAGGCTTTTGTGTCTTTGCATCTGCTACTGCAGCAGTAAGGGATCTCTGGGGACCTATTGGTAAGAACCTGTGCTACTATAGGAACAGCACGTGGTTTGAATCCACCAGTTGCTTTGTGGGAGGGAGATGGGCAGTCTCCTGCTATGCGATTTACTGTCTCTGAAAACCCACTGGAGGGTCCACCTATGAGCCAATTCTGACTTGATGGCACAGAACAACAACAACAATGACAGTTACAGCAATGGGCTTGAGAGTACGTCAGAGATGATGAATATAGCACAGCACGGGGCAGGGTTCATTCAGGTTCCGTTGCTCACATGATCACTGAGTCATACTCAGTGGCACCTAACAACAACAACAGCTTCACAAATGTTATGAGAATTCTTGGCAGTATTCAGTCTGGCACTTGCTTTTACTGTTCATCTCTTTGGTCATAAGAATAGGGTAGAGCAACCTGGAGCTCTTCCCTATCTCTAATTATCTCCACCACCTGGCTTAGCAGTTTGGCCTATGATGGTAGCTTGCTTGTTGCTGTGATGCTGGAGCTGTGCCGCTGGAATTACCAGTACCAGCAGGAACACCTATGGTAGACAGATCTCAACGGAACTTCGACACTAAGGCAGACTAGAACAAAAGATGGAGGTCTACCTCCAAAAATCAGCCAAAGAAAACCTTGAAAATTGTCTGAAAGAGTTTTGGCAGATGAGGCCCCTGGGTGGGAAGGCACACTACACAACTGTAACCATGCTCTCATAGGAAGTGACTGTGAAGATGGAGCAAGGCCAGGTGATATTTCATCCAGGTATACCTAAGTTTCTTTCATTCATGGCTCTCACATTCCATGTACCAATCACTAGGGTCTGCTTACAACTGTTCCTCCTCCCTTGTATTTCCATACTTGATAGTTCTACCTAGGTTGCCCTTTCTGTTAATCTGCGTGTGTTCTGTTGTGC